GCCTCTTAAAGAATAACTATTACATTAATATAAATAAATTCCAGAAAAATGATAAAGCCTTTTAGAATTTAATTATATCAGTTTATTTGTTTTTGTAAGGAATTTTCATTATTTATATTTATTTTATATATGTTATTTTTTAAATTAAATATTCTAAGCGGACCTCCTTATTGAATTTTTTGGTTACATCGCAGTTTTGGTTCTTGAAAATAAATTGACATCGAACTATAATTTGATTTTCTTTGTTGTGTGGAACAGAAATTGAAATGCTAAGTCTCATCAGAAATCAAACAAAAGAGAACTAAAATTTTCAATTCAATTATTTTCTGAGCTATTGGAGTATGTTTAATTCTGCGCACCCCTCATTAGACCCATAAGAGGACTTCCATTTCTATTAAAGTTCCATCTTCTCTCTTGGGAATTTTATTGTTTTAAGAAATTTTGTATTTTAGTTGAATAAATTTTGAAATATTAAAACTTATTTTATCTTTATGTGCTCAATTTAACTAACTAAAAAAATTTAAATTGATTCTATATTATGGAATCATACCCAAACATCAAAATATGCAATTTTTTTTTTTCAAATTTTAAGATTCCCAATGTCTGTAAAGTGCACCGACCAGCTCTGATGGTTTGGTTTGCGTGGTCCCAATCCCATTCTTAATCCTTTGCTGAGAATGTTGACCAGCCACGCAACGCAAGGTATCTTTTGTAACTTGTAACGTATCTCAATCGGATGATATTTTCAGAGCAAAAATTTTTAACGCGAGAGCAAAATATTTTTTAAGTCAAAATTGCCCTCTCCTAGTTTTCTATCTCCGTCTCAATCTCATCTTTACGAATTAGTTTATTCAATTCTTTATTCTTCATCAGAACTTTTGATTTCTCTCAAATACAACTCAGAGCAAAACAAAGAATTCACGCGGCAAGGGACAGGCTTATGTGATGGAGACAAAAATTAGAAAATGTCTCGTCTTTGTCACAGTAGCAATGATGGGTCCTTGGAGTTGACTCCAAGTAGTTTTGTTAAGATTAATTTAAAATAATATTATTAAAAATATTTTGAAATTTCAAATTTTTTTTAGCGTATATTTTTTTTTAGAATTTAATATTTTTGTTATTAAAATTAATGATTTTTAAAAGTATTTTTAAGTCTTATTTGATTCACTTGTAAACCTATAAATAGGCACATTATTTTGTTAATTTAATGAAGTACAAAACATTATTAATCATCTTGTGTATTTCCATTTTTTCTTCCAAAATTTCAATATGGTATCAGAGCCTAGGACCCGAACCTACGATGGAAAGTTTCCGTGTTGATGAAAATTATCAGCTATTGCTGTTAAAATGAAAGCTTAATTACAAGCTTATGACTTACGGAGCATGATGAAACAGAAAAAGAAATCCCTCCATTGCCATCCAACCCAACTATGGTTCAAATTAAGAATCTTAGCGAAGAAAAAGCCAAAAAATTCAAAGCAAAAACCTGTCTTCTTTCTTGTGTTTCGGATATAATTTTCACAAATATTATGACTTGTGAAACAGCAAAGGAGATATGAGACTTATTAAAAAAATGAGTATCAAGGCGACGAGCAGACGAAATTGATGCAAGTTTAGAATTTGAGATGCAAAAAATGAAAACATCTGGAGGTGTCAAAGAATATGTTAACAATCTCATGTCCATTGTTAATAAAATTAGATTACTTAGTGAAGAGTTTCCTGAAAGAATGGTGGTTGAAAAAATTCTAATAAGTCTACCCGAAAAATTTGAGTTCAAAATTTTTTCTCTTGAAGACACAAAAAATCTTTCTGAAATTTTCGTTGGTGAACTAACTAATGCACTATAAGCTGTGGAGCAACGAAGAGCATTTAGAGAAAATAATACTATAGAGGCTGCTTTTGTTGCCAAGACAGCGTTCAAATTTTTATCAAAAAGAGGAAAATTTCCACCATGTGGCATATGCAAGAAAGATAATCATGATAAAAATGATTGTTGGCATAAAGGTAAACCTCAATGTTTTAATTGTAAGAAATTTTGTGCAAGAGGAAGGAACTCTTCTTTGAGTATTGGAGAGATGTGCTTCAAGAGAATATTGGAGATATGTGCTTCAAGATAACATTAGAGAGATGTGCTCCAAAATAAAGAAAGCGATGAGAGATGCATCAATATTTGGTGAGAAGTGCATCAAAATGATGAGTCGGAGAGAGGTGCTTCAACAAAATTAAGTGAAGAGAGGTGCTTCAAGTGCTAGATTAAAAATTTTTTATTGTTAATTATTGTAATAAAAAATATTATGTTTGAATTAAGAGAGAATATTAGGATTCATTCAAAATAATATTATTAAAAATATTTTGAGATTTCAATTTTATTTAGTGCAGATTTTCTACATAGAATTTGATTTTTGTTATTAGGATTAATGATTTTTATGAGTATCTTTAGGTCTTATTTGATTCACTTGTATGCTTATAAATAGGCACATTCTTTTGTCAATTTAATAAAATGCAAAACATTATTAATCATCTTGTGCATTTCCATTTTTCCTTCCAAAATTTCAACAAGTTTTGGTCTTAGTGTTCTATCACATCAGTATATGCATTATGGGATTTGGCGAAGGAAATTGCTAAGAAGGATGATAATGTCTATACGGTGAATGAGGACGGAGATGAGATTGATTTGAGATTTGGAAGAAAACCCATTGCAGATATGAGATTTAAATGGAGATCAAAACATGACTTGAGATAGAAAACAAAGAAGCAAAGGGCAATTTTGTCTTAAAATATTTTAGTCTGAAATTATTATCATCTTGATATTGTTGACACTTGTAAATTTCATTTATTTTAACCTCTTATTTAGAATAAATGAATTCCACAAAATTTTATGAAATTTTTTTATAAATTAAAATTTTAGTCTTTTAAATGAGAAAAAAAAATTGAATATTTATATTATACAAATCCAATACTAGAGATTTGAATATGATAAAATCAAATTCTATTAAAATCGACTGGAATTTCCAAATGAATTTTACAAAATTAAAGTTATCCATCCTTCTAATGTCTATAATAAATATGTCAAAAATATTTTAAGAAATAAAAGAAAATTAATTTTAAATTTTAAATTTATTTTAAATATAAAAATTCATGTACAAATAAATTTTGCTTAGAAATTATTTATAAATAAATTTCACATTTTAAATATGTTATGCCAACAGAAGGTAATAGAATTTTATTATTTATATTGAATTTTACAGCATTGAATTCCTATAAAAGTGAAATCTTTATTTCTTTTTTATTTTAAATATAAAAATTTAAATTTCCAAATGAATTCTAAAAATTTTGTAGAATACATTTATTTTGAACATGTGTTAAATCAAGTTATTTTAGTAAAAGTACGATAGCTTGTGACAATATACCAGAAATACAATCTCACTGAAAAAAAGGCTAAATGCATATATATACTTTTTAAAAAAAAATTGTGACATCTCGAACTTTACCGAAAGATGTACTGTATCCTTAAAGTTATGAATTTCAGTAATATTACACATCTCTTCATACTAATAATAATTCATACTAATAATAATAGTTTTTAATGTTTTTGGCTTTTAAACATAAAATAAGTTGGAATATTCAATATTTTTTTTTTTAAATTGAAATATTCATTAGATATAATTTTAGAAATTAAGAGTATCACAATGTCTAAACTATAAGGGTATACTGTGCATTTAGCCTTTTAAACAATTCTGAAACTTTTTCACTCCCTGTTTTTCTTTTTTTAATTATATAATTTTTTTTTTCCTTTTGATACGGTGGAAATCTATAGTTTCTTGAAGACTCAAATAACTAAGATTTATATGACTCAACAACTATTTAATTACTCGGTTATAATTAATCATAGTTCTAGATATTTTAGAGATATTTTATGTCATTTATAATATGAAATATTATTAATACATTTTACTTCTCAAAAACTAAAAAAATTAACCAAATTATACTATTTTTTGTGAAATTACTTTCCTAAAATTCTATTTTCTAGGAAGTAAATTTCCAGCAAAGTAAGTCAATTCGAACCAAATGAAGTGTTAGAATTTTTAGGTTTTTTAATTTGATACAATAGAATCAAATCGAAAAAAAAAATGATTTACAATTTGAAAATCAAAACCAAACTAAATTTTAAAAAAAAGCTAAATCAAATTGAATTAATCTGATTTGGTTCAGTTGATTTTATAATTTGTCCACTCAAAATAAATAATCAAATGATTATTTTGTTAATGGTTAGTGATGACAATTTTACCCGGACCGATTTTAGTGGAATCGGATGGTGATAGACGGATTTGGAATAATATTTTTATTATTTGTATCGGGTTCGACTCAAAGATAGGTATCCATTGTCTAGTACTCATTTAGTTAACATTTTATAAATATTTAAAATAATTATTTTTAAAATAAAATTATATGTATTTTTTACCATAATTAATGCCCTAATTCTATTTAATAGTATATTATATTGTTTATTAAGTTAAAATAATAATTTTATAGTTTTTATTTATTTTTATTTTTAAAAAATAAAAAAACAAAAATATTTTAATGCTAAATGCTAATTATAATCGGAAACGAATATTAAAAATAAATTTTTATATCTGGGTTCGGATTTGGACAGTGCTTCGGGTAATCGACCCATTGCCATCCCTATCAGCGGTGAGAGAATCCAAGGCAAAGGAATCATATCGGGGCAATGGTCCACGTCCACCTTATCTTTCGACACACGCTACGCGCCATATGATGTGCGTGCGACATAAACATTTTCGTCATTCCGAAAGCATCGCGTAATTTCCTTTCGCATATCGCCATGCAGGTGACGCAAGCTCACCTACTCTAAATGACGTCACACACGAGTGTCTATCCAACGGCTGGAAATCGACGAATGCCCCTTCCCAACCGCCCCATAAAAATAACAATACCACTACCAGCCCGTACAAAAAACATTCACTCTCTATAATTCAAATCAATGTTATAAATTAAATCTTTAAAAAATAATAAAAAAAAAGAATAATTAAACATTGACGAACTCGGTCTTTCTTTTAATTATTTAATTACAACTTTTCGTTTCATTTAATTTTCCATATGTTGATTGTTGAAAGTACTATTTAGAAGCAGTACAGGAGATCTTGGTTGTGCTCTCGCCGGTGCCGGAGATGGATGGTAAAGGGAAAGAGAAAAGGAGGAGGATTGACAAAGAATCCGATGAAGCTAAGAGTAAAAAGGTTAGACATGGAGATAATAAGGAGGAGGCGACGGACGAGGAAGTTGAGGAATTCTTTGCGATTCTAAGGAGTATGCAAGTAGCTGTCAAGTACTTCGAGAAAGGAAAACGAGAAGGCTGGCGTGCTGCCGTCGAAGCTGAAGTGGTTGCGGTGGTTGGTGGTTCCAAAGAAGATGAAGACGATGATCATCAGATTAAAAAGAAGAAAGGATCGCCAGCAAAGATAAATCCGATTGTGGAGGAGGAGGAGATGGCGGTTTTGGATTTGAACGCCTTGCCGGCGGTGGAAAGTAGTGAGATATGTATAACTGAATCGCATGATTAAACGTGGTTGAGATCTAGGAAGCTGCCGTCGCGTGCGGTAGTGGAGGAGCAGCTCGTGAGTTCTGCCGGTGCCACGGGTTTGACATGAGCGCAGGTGTTTCTTTTCGTTCAATTTCTTTTTTTTTTTTTTCTTTAATTTATCTGTTTAATTAACGATTCGGCTAATATATTAATATAATAATTGTTGCTTATAATATAGCATTACGTAGTTAATGTCTCTTAATATAGAATTAACAACAATGAATTCCATGTTTTACATGTAATTTATTTATTATATATGTTTAGGTGTCTATTTCATTGATATTGATTTTTTTAATACTAATTAAAAGTTTGGAGTTTTAATTTAATTATTTAAATTAAATTTTGGAGTGGAGCAGTTTTTTAGACTTTATGATCTAATAATCAGTAATCAACATGTCTCTGTTAAGAGTCTTGCAAGCATTATAGAGTTAATAATTTGCAAGAATTATATTTAGTTATTATTGCAAATTATTATTAATTTGGAAGATTTAATATTTAATATTTAATTTAATAATTTGTATTTTGCTTCTTATCGTTGTTTATATTTTAGTGATGTGTTTTCTATTTTTTTGTTGTTTTTCATTAGTTAGTTTTTTTGTTTTTGACAGATGTGTTTCTATTTTTTTGTGTTTTCATTAGTTAGTTTTTGTTTTTTTTTTTTTTTTTTTTTTTTGGTTATGCATGTCAATATATGGTGTTCAGAGGCAGATATATGCGTTGGGGAAAAAAAAAAAGAACAATTTCAATATCATTGTAGAGAAATTTCTGAAAGGGGTTCAAGCCCAAGGTTAACAACCTCTCGCTATAATACTTGCTTTAAAAAAATAATAATAAATAAATATTATGATGTCGAAGTGTACATTATAAGATGAATTGGAGAAGACATAGATTAGACCTAGTCTGTGATGACAAAGAAATAAAGTTTTGTATGGATTATTCTTAGATAGAAAAGAAAATTGATAGTGTTTACCATGATATGACATTGCTTTTGGAGTTTTGTTTTTTAAAATATTTCTTTGTTCTTTCTTTTCTTTGTTCTTTCTTTCTTTTCTAAAAAGATGTTTGTTGAATTGAAGGCCTATTTTACTTTTCAAAAATAAAAGGGAAATTTATTATTTAGTCCCTCAGGTTTTACAAAATTAACTAACTAATCCAAAATTTTTTCAAAATATCTAGCTAGTCCTTCAGATTTAACTCTATCTAATTAAAAGGTCCTTCCGTCCGAAAAGTTGATTTTTTTCCGTTAATTATAGACTAAAAGACTAAAACACCCCTCCCTAGCTGACGTGGACCATAATATTATCTAGTTCCTCAGTTTTACATAATTATATAACTAAATCTCAAGTTTTGCACAAATATCTAACAGTCCCTCAGTTTAACTCCGTCTAAATGAAAAGTCCTTCCGTTCAAAAAGTGTATTTTTTTCCGTTTATTAAAGACTAAAGCTTTAAAACACCTTCTTCCCTAGCTGAGTTGGACCAGTATGAAGCGATAAGGAGGGAATTGTGATAAAACTAAAGACTAAATAATTAATTTTTCCTATAAAGTCGATGGAGACATAATCTTTTTCTCTCTTAAATGTTACGGTTTAGTTTTAGATTATGAATATTTTTGCAATCGAAAACCATTAAATATTAATTTATGTCTCTAAAATATTACTATCCTATGTCTATAATATTCGTCACATTAAGAGATTCATGTTTTTTAAAAAAATTATTATAATGTGTTATAAATTATTATATAAATATTGAAATAATTTTATTATAATAAATTATTGAATAAATTTTGACAATATTACTCTTAATTTAATATTAATCTCTAAGAAAATCATTAAATTGAAATAATAATTATTAATCATACACAAAGGGTAAATATGAAAAAAATATTTATTACTCCTTAAAACCGTAAATATAACAAGTATTTTAGACTAAATTAGACAAATATTTTAGAACAAACTATTTTCTCAAATCTGACAAGTATTATAAAACAAAGACAGTATTAAAAAAAGGATAAAAAAATTAATTTGATGTTCTAATTAAATATTATTAAATTTGAGTGAATCATGAAAGTAAATACATCTTCAAAAAAGTAATTACTTCATTTTTCTTTTTACCCCAAATTATCATCATAGTTTCTTTTTTAGAAAAAAAAGTAATAAACATATTTTCTATTTTATTCATATTTAATATGCAAATTTTATCAAGAAACATTTCTATTATCATTGATAAAATCTAAAAAAAAAAACAAAGTATTCCATCTATTCATAAATACTTTTAATATTTTTATGGTAATTAAGTAAGTAAATTTATTCTTATAAATTATAACAAAATATTAATTAATTTTATTACGTAACCTTAAGTAATTATATGATTTTGAAAAATTATAAAAATAATTATTAAATTTAATATAAATAAGGGTAAAATTGAAAAAAAAATTAATTACTCATTAATATTCTAAAAAAAAAGATATTTGCAGAGAAAACACAGGCTCTAAAACAATAGTTATTTATAGATAAAAAAGTAATTATTATTGTCACCTATATTATTATAATTTCACAACTTTGAATATGAATATTAATATTTAATGTAAGGTTATCTGTGTGCAAAAGATAACTAGGTATAGCATTATGGCATAGAAGAAACAAAAAAGGGAAAACAAAACTAGTTATATTATTATCGCCTCATTACTGGTCACCGTCAGCTAGGGAGGGTGGGTTTTAGTCTTACAATTAAACGGAAAAAAACTAAACTTTTCGGACGGAAGACCTTTCAATTAGACAAGTTAAACCTGAGGGACTAGTGTAGGAATATTTGCGCAAAACTTGCGGATTAGTTAAATAATTATTGTAAAACCTGAGGGACTATAATAATTTCTCTTATTGGTTCACGGTCAGTAGGGGGGGTTTTTAGTCTTTAGTTCTATAAATAACGAAAAAATTCAACTGTTTGGACGAAGGACGTTTAATTAGACGGAGTTAAAGCCTGGGAGTTAAACCTGAGGGACTAGCTAGATATTTTGGCAAAACCTTGGATTAGTTGGTTAATTTTGTAAAACCTGAGGGACTAAATAATAAATTACCCAAAATAAAATAATATATACAAAAATATGCTAGTTAACTTTGAATCTTGCAGTGTCATTCATATCTAATGTAAGTAGTTTGGATCAAAAGGAAATTTGGAAAGCAAATTATGTGGCTTATAGACTAATACACATGTGCAAATGGCTAGTTTTCCATTTTTGACTTTATTAAAAACAAGTCAATAAGTAATAAAAGAAAAATAATTGGTCTTGTCTTGGAAAAATTACACCTCAAAAGCTAAGTGTTGAAATTTGAGAGCTCAATATGAAATTTGACAAATCCTTTTTTTTTTTTTTTTTTTTTGAGACCAGAATTTTCATGTAGAATTATTTTTTTTTTTAAAATAATGAATTTAGAAATACTATTTTTTAAATTTTTTTTTTTTTTTTTTTTTGAGACCAAGATTTTCATGTAAGAATTATTTTTTTTTAATAAATGATTAGAAATACTATTTTTTAAATTTAAAAAAATATATTTTTAATTGATTTAATATATGGATGACATGACGGGTAACGACGGGTAACATAAAGGAAGTGTGCAAGTTTTTTAGCTTTGATATTTTTACCTTTAAATATCAACAAAATTCGAATTTTGAATTTCAGAAATTTATGCACAAAAGGATATATGTTAGCGACTTCATTATGTTCTGCCCTGCCCTCCTTTCAAACCAAACACAAAACACGTCTTTCCTTTTCTCTTCCTTCAAGAGAGAAATACTTCCTTTCTGCTCTCCTTCTTTCCTTTCTTTCTTCAAACCTATTCCATCCTTCCAAACAAAGTGTAAGATAATGTCATTAGGCTTATAATCGCATATTAGAGTGTTTACCACGTGATATAATAGTCACGATCCTGTATTCAAAATACCGTCCAATTCTCACAATTTCTTCTCATTTTAATTGATTATGACGTATAAAAAAGAACAATGGAGAATTTTGTTCTTCCCACCCACGAGTATAGGGACAGAGAGCACCAACTTAAAAAGTGAAAGGACAGGCATATCTTATAATATTATATTGCCACGTAGACCATTATTCTCAAAAACTAACACCTACCACCTTCTTTCGCCGAAGGTATAAATTGCCACTTAGCTTTATTACTTTAGATGAGTGACATCTTTAATACCATGGCTGACCTATTCTCGTAGTCATCACGTGGAATGTCTGAAAGGAATAATATATTGGGCTACACAATAAATATAATTTTTTTAATAATTTTTATTAATTTAGTGGTAATATTTGTGATAAAAAAAATACTCGAATTCAGAATATTGTACTCTCCACAATTTTTACAAAATGTAGAAAGACTAACTAAATTATAATTGAAAATAATATTGCACGGTTCTTTATATTGATAATGGTATTTTTTTATAATTTTTATCTTTTATATCCGAAATATTAATTTAATATATAAACTTTTTTATGGTATTAATAAATTCTTTTTTAAATTTTTTCGTATACAATAATTTATACCTTTTTAAAGCAATATTTTCTTTTCTTTTCTATTTTTTTTTTTAATGATTGCGCTCTTAATTTTGTTATTTGTGTGGACATTAAGGCCATGCTAATTATATGAAATAGAATGAAAAATAGAATATCAATTCCTCATTCAATTGTTCACTCGCATAAGGCATAAGCAAAGAAAATGAATAGGAATAAGAAGGGAATAGATATTAATGAAAAAAATTACTATGAAAGGTATTGAAACGTTAGGAAACCAAATATGAGCTTATAAAAAGTGGAATTTTGTGCTTATGAAAATTATCTGAGTAATCAAAAATGAAAAGAAGGCCTCAAATTTTATGAACAGAGTCGAGTTTGTTGATTCTCGCATACGCATATATCATCTGTGCTACATTAAATTTTTTTTAACAGATATTAAAATAGATAAAGCATAGGTTTTTTCTTGTTATGAAACCAAATATGTCTTATTTTTCCTTTTAAATTATCAAATATGTTCTTCTCGCAGCCAACTAAAAGAATGGAACCATATTAAACATAGGAATAGAAGTGCATTTTCGCACTATTCCTACGTTGGTCATTTCACTTTAATTTGTCTACCAACATAGTTAGGAATGAATGCTATATCGCTAAAGTAATAAAGCATAAGAATAAATTTATGCGTTAAACCAAAACATCAAATATATTAGTTTTGAAATATTTCTTTTATTAGCAAGTGTGCTCTAAATTATCTATTAATGCTTAATTCTCAAGTTAGGTTATGGTACTTTCCTAATAAATTCCAACGGTTCTAATATAAATGCCTATGCGAATATGATGTATGATAGATTATTAAAAGTTGTACTCGACATTAATTAGGTATCAACTTCAAACTATATATATCCAAGAACTACTTATAGGTGATGATATTGATTAGTGATGTGAGATGGGTCATAAAAAGGGATTCTAATTCTTATTGAAATACTATTTAGGTATTGACTTTAGAGGAACCTTATCTAAAAATTACCTGTAGATGATTGGAATTGGATTATTGATTTGAGATGATCCAAATTTTTATTTGTTTTTAAATATTTTGTTTATATTAAGGATAATATCTCGTCCTGCGTTAAAAAGCGACTATATTAAATATTCTCTTTAAAATATGAAGCGGATGACTTGATTTTACAATCAACGGGTTGGAGTTTAACACGTTTCAACTATTAAATCATGATATATTAGATATTTATTCCTAAAATTTAGGGTAATAAGCACAATAAAGGGTGACATGATGTACATAAATAATTTTTAAATTTAAATTAATTTTTTAAGAAAAAAAATA